AAAATTCTTTCTAATACGTTTGTCTCATTTGGGTACTCAAGTTTCCGCCTGTGTCCCCTTGTTTGTGTTCCTGCCGTGCTATATAATTTGCTGTTATCGACCCCTGTCTCAGCTCCCATAGGAATTCTGAAGGTGGTAATCATGTCTCTCCAAACTCTTCCAGTGACGTGAGGTTTAATTCCAGTAGCCTTTCCTCGTAACTCTCACCTCTCGGCTCTGAGCAGACCTCTGAACTTCCGCTAATTTTGAGAGTTGCGCCGCTTAGGGGTTAAGAGAGGCAGCCATCACGCTCTCTTTACCATGGCCAGCATATCAAAATGTTATTTCGGTGTCCTTGTGTAATTTTATGCAGTCAGTCCTCTTTAAATGATTCACACTCTTTCGCCTGCGCCAGGGCCTCGCGGCTGGGGGCGGAGGCTCTGGGAAGCCTGCGTCAGGGCTTGAAGGGACGCTGAAAAGCCTGCATCGGGGCTTAGAGGGAGGCTACAAAGCCTGCATCAGGGCTTAAAGGGACGCTACAAAGCCTACATCAGGGCTTAAAGGGACGCTGAAAAGCCTGCATCGGGGCTTAGAGGGAGGCTACAAAGCCTGCATCAGGGCTTAAAGGGACGCTACAAAGCCTACATCAGGGCTTAAAGGGACGCTGAAAAGCCTGCATCGGGGCTTAAAGGGAGGCTGAAAAGCCTGCATCAAGGCTTAGAGGGAGGCTACAAAGCCTGCATCAGGGCTTAAAGGGACGCTACAAAGCCTACATCAGGGCTTAAAGGGACGCTGCAAAGCCTGCATCAGGGCTTGAAGGGTCTGAAAAGCCGGCATCATGGCTTGAAGGGAGACTACAAAGCCTGCATCAGGGCTTAAAGGCAGGCAGCAAAGCCTGCCTCCTAAGGGCCCCACTGCCGCATTAGTGACCAACGAGCCAGTAAACCTTGGTGAATAACTATTTGAATACAAGTAATTATGAGTGAAGCAAAATATTTTCTCCGCATTCTGGAAATATAACCTTTCCAGAACTAACCAAATTAATTGAAAGAGGATTGTATATGCTCTTAATCGGCGAGGTTTTAATAGCCTTTCTGGGTAAAAATATATATATATATTAGTGTTTTTGATTTTAATTTTTATATTTGGAAATTATTACAGATTTATCGCTAAGGTTTGACTCCTGGAAGTTACAAAAATTGAATTCCAGACCAGTAACGGGGGCTTCCATGGCAACGTTTCAGACCGGTAACGGGATCTCCATGGCAACACACCAGACTAGTAACAGGGCCTCCATGGCAACACACCAGATCAGTAACGTGGCCTCCATGGCAACACCCCAGACCAGTAACGGGGCCTCCATGGCAACACTCCAGACCAGTAACGGGGCCTCCATGGCAACACTCCAGACCAGTAACGGGGGCCTCCATGGCAACACTCCAGACCAGTAACGGGGCCTCCATGGCAACACTCCACACCAGTAACGGGGCCTCCATGGCAACACTCCAGGTCAGTAACATGGCCTCCATGGCAACATTCCAGACCACTAACGGAGCCTCAATGGCAACACTCCAGACCAGTAACGGGGCCTCCATGGCAACACTCCAGACCAGTAACGGGGCCTCCATGGCAACATTCCAGACCAGTAACGTGGCCTCCATGGAAACACACCAGTAACGGGGCCTCCATGGCAACACTCCATGGCAACACTCCAGACCAGTAACGGGGCCTCCATGGCAACACTCCAGACCAATAACGGGGGCCTCCATGGCAACACCCCAGACCAATAACGGGGGCCTCCATGGCAACACTCCATTTTACCATTCCATGTTAATTACTACCAGTATTTTGCAACCATTTATTACCTCCTGGAAACACAATACTGCCACTGGACACAATATCTAAAAAAATAACGCTCATTCAACGCTAAATTGACGCTGATAAGGTTGAGGTAACGCTGGAAATTGATCCCCAAAGGACAAAAATAAAAGATTTCGGACCCCTGGAACACGGGAAGATAAAAGAGGTGTTTGTGTCGTGTTTATAGAGCGTGAAACGGAGCACTAACGTCACAAGCGTTGGCTAGCAAATAACAGAAACTTGGCAATCAAGATCCAAGTTTTAGAAAAGCGTTTCTTCCAGAGGACTTTGAGCAAACTTTATGTCGGGGGCTGCTTCTTGCCTCAGAGCAGCATGGGGGCTATTCACCCACCCCCGGCAACATGGGGGGGCTACTCACCCCCAGCAACGTGGGGGCTACTACTCACCCCCACCAACATGGGGGGCTACCCAACCCCCAGCTACGTGGGGGGCTACCCAACCCCCAGCAACATGGAGGGCTACCCAACCCCCAGCAACGTGAGGGGGCTACCCAACCCCCAGCAACGTGGGGGGCTACCCAACCCCCAGCAACGTGGGGGGCTACCCAACCTCCAGCAACGTGAGGGGGCTACCCAACCCCACCAACATGGGAGGCTACTCACCCCCACCAACATGGGGGGGCTACCCAACCCCACCAACATGGGGGGGCTACTCACCCCCCACCAACAAGATTGCAGTGTCGTCCTCACTTCACTTTTAATTTCAAGTAAATTTAGCTTCTTGGCAGTTGATAGAGTTTCGCGATGTTCATTTCCTGTTTATTCTTACACTGCATACACCCAGCCTGGCTGCTGCCCTCCAGGCTACACCCAGCCTGGCTGCTGCCCTCCAGGCTACACCCAGCCTGGCTGCTGCCCTCCAGGCTACACCCAGCCTGGCTGCTGCCCCCCAGGCTACACCCAGCCTGGCTGCTGCCCTCCAGGCTACACCCAGCCTGGCTGCTGCCCCCCAGGCTACACCCAGCCTGGCTCCTGCCCTCCAGGCTACACCCAGCCTGGCTGCTGCCCCCCAGGCTACACCCAGCCTGGCTCCTGCCCTCCAGGCTACACCCAGCCTGGCTGCTGCCCTCCAGGCTACACCCAGCCTGGCTGCTGCCCTCCAGGCTACACCCAGCCTGGCTGCTGCCCTCCAGGCTACACCCAGCCTGGCTGCTGCCCTCCAGGCTACACCCAGCTGGCTGCTGCCCTCCACTACACCCAGCCTGGCTGCTGCCCTCCAGGCTACACCCAGCCTGGCTGCTGCCCTCCAGGCTACACCCAGCCTGGCTGCTGCCCTCCAGGCTACACCCAGCCTGGCTGCTGCCCTCCAGGCTACACCCAGCCTGGCTGCTGCCCTCCAGGCTACACCCAGCCTGGCTGCTGCCCTCCAGGCTACAACCAGCCTGGCTGCTGCCCTCCAGGCTACACCCAGCCTGGCTGCTGCCCTCCAGGCTACACCCAGCCTGGCTCCTGCCCTCCAGGCACACCCAGCCTGGCTGCTGCCCTCCAGGCTACACCCAGCCTGGCTGCTGCCCTCCAGGCTACACCCAGCCTGGCTGCTGCCCTCCAGGCCACACCCAGCCTGGCTGCTGCCCTCTAGACTATACCCAGCCTGGCTCCTGCCCCTCCAGGCTACACCCAGCCTGGCTCCTGCCCTCCAGGCTACACCCAGCCTGGCTGCTGCCCCTCCAGGCTACACCCAGCCTGGCTCCTGCCCTCCAGGCTACACCCAGCCTGGCTGCTGCCCCTCCAGGCTACACCCAGCCTGGCTCCTGCCCTCCAGGCTACACCCAGCCTGGCTCCTGCCCCTCCAGGCTACACTCAGCCTGGCTCCTGCCCTCCAGGCTACACCCAGCCTGGCTCCTGCCCTCCAGGCTACACCCAGCCTGGCTCCTGCCCCTCCAGGCTACACCCAGCCTGGCTCCTGCCCCTCCAGGCTACACCCAGCCTGGCTCCTGCCCTCCAGGCTACACCCAGCCTGGCTCCTGCCCTCCAGGCTACACCCAGCCTGGCTCCTGCCCTCCAGGCTACACCCAGCCTGGCTCCTGCCCCCCAGGCTACACCCAGCCTGGCTCCTGCCCCTCCAGGCTACACTCAGCCTGGCTCCTGCCCTCCAGGCTACACCCAGCCTGGCTCCCGCCCTCCAGGCTACACCCAGCCTGGCTCATAACCTCATAATGGCTCCTCATACCCTCATAATGGCTCCTCATACCCTCATAATGGCTCCTCACACCCTCATAATGGCTCTTCATACCCTCATAACGGCTCCTCATACCCTCATAACGGCTCCTCATACCCTCATAACGGCTCCTCATACCCTCATAATGGCCCGTCATACCCTCATAATGGCTCCTTATACCCTCATAATGGCTCCTCATACCCTCATAATGGCTCCTCATACCCTCATAATGGCTCCTCATACCCTCATAATGGCTCCTCATACCCTCATAATGGCTCCTCATACCCTCATAATGACCCCTCATACCCTCATAATGGCTCCTCAAACCCTCATAATGGCTCCTCATACCCTCATAATGGCTCCTCATACCCTCATAATGGGTCCTCATACCCTCATAATGGCTCCTCATACCCTCATAATGGCTCCTCATACCCTCATAATGACCCCTCATACCCTCATAATGGCTCCTCAAACCCTCATAATGGCTCCTCATACACTCATAATGGCTCCTCGTACCCTCATAATGGCTCCTCATACCCTCATAATGACTCCTCAAATCCTCATAATGGCTCCTCATACACTCATAATGGCTCCTCATACACTCATAATGGCTCCTCAAACCCTCATAATGGCTCCTCATACACTCATAATGGCTCCTCATACCCTCATAATGGCTCCTCATACCCTCATAATGGCTCCTCATACCCTTATAATGGCCGCTGCTCTATTTTCAAACAATTCACATTAATGAATTCCAAAATGCAAATGGTCCGTCTGACTCAAGAAAAGTTATCAGACGCGCCCCCACCCAGACAATGGTGGGGAGGTGGGGGTTGTGGTGGGGAGGTGGGGGTTGTGGTGGGGAGGTGGGGGTTGTGGTGGGGAGGTGGGGGTTGTGGTGGGGGTTGTGGTGGGGAGGTGGGGGTTGTGGTGGGGGTGTGGGGGCTACGAGAGGCAGCGAGGGCCTCAGGTGAGGTACTCACCTTGCCAGAGGGAAGTCCAGCAGCCTCCAGCGCCACCTCCACCCGCCTCTTGTCGTCACCGTGACGGGCGAAGAGCTTCACTATGCTGTGGGAGGAGAAATATCATCAGTTACCAGTCACTGTGGGAGCGGCCAGGATATTACCCAACACTCCCACCGTGGAGGGGAAGGATATCACCCAACACTCCCACCATGGGGGGTGGAGAATATCACCCAACACACCCACCGTGGGAGGAAGATATCACCCAACACTCCCACCATGGGGGGGAAGATATCACCCAACACTCCCACCATGGGGGGGAAGATATCACCCAACACTCCCACCATGGGGGGGAAGATATCACCCAACACTCCCACCATGGGAGAGGAAGATATCACCCAACACTCCCATAACACCCTTCACTAACTTGAACAACCAATCACCTCACCATCATTTACACTAACAAGTTTACAACCCTCACAACCCGAGGTTATTATTGCTATAAACAACCTCTTATATATATATATATATATATATATATATATATATATATATATATATATATATATATATATATATATATATATATATATATATACATATATATATATATATATATATATATATATATATATATATATATATATATATATATATATATATATATATATATAGGGCTTCGGTGCTCATAAACTATTTAATACATGCAAACACAGCCGTCAAGACTGAGGAAAGATGTAGAGGTTTCGTCAATGGTTGTGTAAATACTTTACACCTGGAGGACGTGGCCACACAGTCAGCACCAGACAGGCCAGGCCAGCAGGGACTGACCAGGCCAGGCCAGCAGGGACTGACCAGGCCAGGCCAGCAGGGACTGACCAGACCAGGCCAGGCCAGCAGGGACTGACCAGGCCAGGCCAGCAGGGACTGACCAGACCAGGCCAGCAGGGACTGACCAGACCAGGCCAGCAGGGACTGACCAGACCAGGCCAGGCCAGCAGGGACTGACCAGGCCAGGCCAGCAGGGACTGACCAGACCAGGCCAGGCCAGCAGGGACTGACCAGACCAGGCCAGGCCAGCAGGGACTGACCAGGCCAGGCCAGGCCAGGCCACCAGGGACTATAAACCCACACCAGTAGGCTTAAGGCAAGCGCCGAACACTGAACCAACTCTCACCCTTAAACTCTCCGGCCAATATTGGAGAATTCAAACGGAGAGTTAAAGAAAAGTTGGTCACCGCTTCAGTGCACATTTGCAAGGTTGCACGACACTGCTCAAATGACCTTAATGTGCTCTTAAGTGTTAGTGTGAGTGTGACCTCACAAGGCGGCGGCAGGAGTTACGTTGTTTCTGCTGTATTGTGCCTACCAATTTGTTGTCAACTACCATTTTAAGCTGTCATTGCAATCAATCATAGCTACCTATGTGCTTTAATATACTGTACCTATAATTTTCTCTCATCTTTTTTTTCATTCCATGTAATCTGTTATCATTTTTTTGTCTATAAATTTTGCAAGTATTTACCTCCTTAAAATTTTCTTAGATTAAGGACCTGCCCGAAACGCTGCGCGTGCTAGTGGCTTTACAAGACTGTAATTACCATATTTGTATCCTCACATTCCTTATGTACATTCTTGTATATGCATAAATAAATAAATAAATAAATAAACGTTGGGAGAGAATGACGCTGAGAAAGTGAGATTGAAAGTAAGGAATGGAATAGTTGAGAAAAAAATGGATGTAATTGGTTGAATTAGTGTAGTGATAGGGGGGGAAGGGGGGGACAGGTGGATTGCCCCCCCCCCTTCCCCGACTATTCCTTCATATCCAAAGGGTGACAAGATGCTTTTCTGGTGGAGGGGTCTCGAACGCGGGTCAGTTCAGTGTGGCTTGCCTGAATCCATCTCCTTTTATAGCTGGCTCGTCTGGATTGATATTGGGTCAAAAGGTCTTGTGGGGGAGGGGGTGTGGCCCCTATTGGTCCCTAGGCCGCTATTCAGACCCATCAATGATAACCCCGTAAGTCCCAGGGTCTCACTTTGTTGTAGTGAAGGCGCTCACAGACGGGGCACCAGGGGCACTGACCCCGCCTCCCTATCACGGTAAAAAGAGCCCATTTTTAGGGCTCACATTTCGCTCATGTGAGCACTCGTTGGAGGGAGGGGGGGGGTCGCTGCCCCTGGGGCGGGTGGGGGGAGGGTTAGTTTACTGTCCGGGCTGAAACTAAAAGGGACAAAGAGGTCTTTGCAAAGAGGAATGTGTAATAACCAGTGGGCATGTGAGCTTGACAAAGTGACACAACATCTTCCTCCTCCTCCTGTGTGTTCGAATTGCATTGTTCCATTTACACTTTTGTTCCTTGTGGAACGTCTGGATTCATACGGTGCAACATAGTCCTCCCCGCCTGCTCCCTTTTGTGGATAATTAGTTGTTTCACTAATTCTTTGCATATGGCAACATGGCGGCTCTCTGAGCTTTCCAGAAAGCTTCATATCTTCGCCCCGTGCCTGTCTCGACCAATCGGCGGGTGACACGTAACACTATCCTATTGGTCGCCGGCGATTAGCCCTCGGCTAATCAGGTTGCGTGAGGCCCAGCGCCTAGGGACTCGCAGCCGGTGGTTGGGGAGCTGCTGCCCCCTAGCCTGTGGGGTGAGGGGAGGCCTTTTTTTGGGGAGGGGGGGGGGAGAAAAGGGGAAGGAGAGGCATAGGTGAAGGGAAGTATAGAAGTGGGAAATACAGTGGGAGGCATGAAAGCAGGCGGGCTGTCCGCCTTGCTGACACGATGTGTGGGTGTTGGCAGCTAAGCTAAGCTGGCTCCCTCTTGTCAGGGAGCTGTGAGTGTGTGAGAAGTTCTTCACATGTGTTTCACCATATATGGATGTCCATAGATGAATACTGTGTAGCATTCATATATACACACTCCGATGATTCCACACATGTTGTTCTGTTTAAGACTCTTTATTTTATTATTATTACTTATTGAGTTGTTCATACATGCACATATACATATACACACATACACATACATACATACACACACATATACCCCATATACATATGCATATACACAACTATACACATACATACTCAATTTTTCAATTATGGGGAAGGATATCTGGTCAGTATTTCATCTGGGAATTATGTACTGTGGGACGGGGTTTTCCTCTAGTGAATCGAGGCTATTGAGGGGGAGGGGGGCCCTTGTTTGTGGGTGATGGGGGGCCCCTTGTTTGTGGGTGAGGGTCCCCCTCCCCCCACCACAACCGGTGGGTGGGGGGTGGAGGGGGGGAGGGGGACACACTCGTCCAACGCGTAATTAAATTACGAAACTAACAACAGTTTTGGACTGAATGTTTAATTAACTAAACAGGTGTTTCCTCACACTATTACCTTACCACACGCCTCGCCCCGTGCTCCCACACCTGTCACCCAGGCCAGCTCCCCCACCTGTCACCCAGGCCAGCTCCCACACCTGTCACCCAGGCCAGCTCCCACACCTGTCACCCAGGCCAGCACCCACACCTGTCACCCAGGCCAGCTCCCACACTTGTCACCCACACCTGTCACCCAGACCAGCTCCCACACCTGTCACCCAGGCCAGCACCCACACCTGTCACCCAGGCCAGCTCCCACACCTGTCACCCAGACCAGCTCCCACACCTGTCACCCAGGCCAGCACCCACACCTGTCACCCAGGCCAGCTCCCACACCTGTCACCCAGGCTAGCACCCACACCTGTCACCCAGGCCAGCACCCACACCTGTCACCCAGGCCAGCACCCACACCTGTCACCCAGGCCAGCACCCACACCTGTCACCCAGGCCAGCACCCACACCTGTCACCCAGGCCAGCACCCACACCTGTCACCCAGACCAGCACCCACACCTGTCACCCAGACCAGCTCCCACACCTGTCAATAACGAGTAATAACGCAAGGTCACTCACGCGGCTGGTCATTTACCCCCCCCCCTGACCGCGCTCCTCCGACACGTGTAGCTAGCCTCGCCCAAATTTGTAGGGGGACTGGTCTGGGGTACAGGACCAACATAGGTCGGGAAGGGATAAGGATTGGGATTGGGACGAAGGGGGAAGTGAATGATGCCCCAACCACTTGTGGACGGTCGGGGGATTGAACGCCGGCCTGCATGAAGCCAGACCGTCGCTCTATAGTCTATACCGTCCACCTCAAGTGATTGGACGAAGAGAGAAGAGGGGGATAAGAAAATGGGGCAATAACGTAGAAAACGGGGTAAATGATGTGTAAGAGAAAACTCACTTTTTAACGGCGACTTTGTTAGAGCGGTCGGCGGTGAGGCAGAGCCTCTTGTAGGCCTTGTGGAGGAAGGTCATGGGCGAGGCGTTGATGGAGATGAGATTGTAGGCCATCTTGAGGATCTCGTCCGCCCATAGCTGGAAACACACAACAATCACACATTAGATTATTAAAAGCAGTTGGCCTGTTGCCCCGTACGAAGCTGCTCTCCTATTGGCCCATACGAGGCTGCTCTCCTATTGGCCCCGTACGAGGCTGCTCTCCTATTAGTCAAAACGAGGCTGCTCTCCTATTGGCCCATACGAGGCTGCTCTCCAATTGGCCCGTACGAGGCTGCTCTCTTATTGGTCCAAACGAGACTGCTCTCCAATTGGCCCATACGAGGCTGCTCTCCTATTGGCCCCGTACGAGGCTGCTCTCCTATTGGCCCATATGAGGCAGCTCTCCTATTGGCCCAGCAACAAGCATGGCCCAGCGCCCCCCCCCCCCCTTCCAAAAAACCAGTTAAGGTCGAGCCGCATCGTCACATTTCCAGCGTACTAAAATGCCAGCACTTGTGTCAACAGTTTGCTCAAATGCACAGTAATTGGGCTGTTGGCTCCCTGGAAAAGGCTCCAATTTTGTATTACCGACTAGACCCACATAAGGCCTACTAAACAATTGGGAAAGAGTAACTACAGCGCCCAGCCTACCATAGCCAGCCTAATACACGCTAGCATAGGCCTAATGCAGTACATATATGTACTATACTAGGCCTAGGGATATTTATGAATGGATGTTAACTTATTTTTTTTCCTCTATAAAAATTCATAGTACAGAAAAGTGGTTTACTGGCGGTGTATCTACTACATATTGGTACTTACGACCCAGATAGTTATTATGAGTACTGTCATTACAGCAGCATGGGCTGTTATACCTGGAGTATACCTGTAGTGGGTTTCACGGGTTCTTCTACTCCCATAGTAATGGTGTCTCCCCTCTCTGCCCCAGACACCCCTATAGTCAAGCTCCCCCCCCCTTCCTGCCTTTACATGGATGGCACCATTCACACGTTGGCGCTCAAGAGGGGGGAGGGGTGATAGTGGCACTGGTGGGGGGGGTGAAGGTGGTACTGGGGCAGCCTCACCATCAATCCTCGGCACTCACAGGCAGGAGGATGAGGCAGGCTGTGAGGGGGGGGGGCAGGTGAGGAGGAGTGAGGAAGGTGTTCCATCATGCATGCAAGCTGCATGTTGCCCCACCATGACACGCCCTCCCCACTCACACACCCCCTCCACCACCACACTCCCCCACCCCCTCTCCCCCATACCCCCACCCCTGGCATCCCCCTCCCCCCACTCGCCCCTCACCATGATAAACCTCCTCAGTATTTTCACTGTCCTTTGAATGGCTTCAGTACTAATATATCACTATCATAACCACCACTATCACCACCAGGACAATCACAATCACCACAGCCACTATCACTACCATTACAAGCACTATGAGTACAAGCACAATCACCACCATCATCACAAGCACCTTCAACACCATCCTAACTACCACAGAATCGTCACTGTCACCACCACACCACCACCACCACCACCACCACACCACCCCCACTACACCATCACCCCCACCCTCACCATCCCCATTACACCACACCACCACCACCACCAGGGACCCACACAAGGAAGTTAACCACAGCCCAAATGAAAGGTTACCGTCTTGAGATCAATACCTTAATATAGCTCTCATGTCTTATGTGGTCACGGCGCCTCTATCCACACCCTTAACCATGGTGTGGTCCTCATGGTGTGGTCCTCATGATGTGGTCCTCATGGTGTGGTCCTCATGGTGTGGTCACAAACGCTAATTGCTCGTTAAAAGGACCTCCTAAACCCCCCATCCCCTTCCAGCCCGTCCTCCAAACAAAGACCCAAAAGTGATTCCATGCACCCGCCAAACCCCTGTTTATGAATGAAAAGCGGTTTACACACGACTCACAACTGCTGACGTTCGAACATTTCCGGAACAAGTGCTTCACTGACGAATTTTGTTCGAACCACAACGCTATAAATGCTTCACCCACGTACTACAAAAACAAATAATCGCCAACAGAACCTAAATAACTAACCTAACCTATCCTATGCCTATATATGCACAATATGCTAATATATTATAATATTAATTTATATTTGAGAAAATTCCCGTTTTGAATGAACAGCATGTCAAAATTTATGAATGCGTCTGTGGGGTCGACCGCTGGATGTAATGGACTTGAGTCGAGGACGGGTTGTTAATAGTCATCAACAATCAACTTGTTGATGAATTGATGGTTAGCCCTGTAACCATACGTGGCTGGTTAGCCCTGTAACCATACGTGGCTGGTTAGCCCTGTAACCATACGTGGCTGGTTAGTCCTGTAACCATACGTGGCTGGTTAGCCCTGTAACCATACGTGGCTGGTTAGTCCTGTAACCATACGTGGCTGGTTAGTCCTGTAACCATACGTGGCTGGTTAGCCCTGTAACCATACGTGGCTGGTTAGCCCTGTAACCATACGTGGCTGGTTAGCCCTGTAACCATACGTGGCTGGTTAGTCCTGTAACCATACGTGGCTGGTTAGTCCTGTAACCATACGTGGCTGGTCAGCCCTGTAACCATACGTGGCTGGTTAGCCCTGTAACCATACGTGGCTGGTTAGCCCTGTAACCATACGTGGCTGGTTAGTCCTGTAACCATACGTGGCTGGTTAGTCCTGTAACCATACGTGGCTGGTTAGCCCTGTAACCATACGTGGCTGGTTAGCCCTGTAACCATACGTGGCTGGTTAGCCCTGTAACCATACGTGGCTGGTTAGCCCTGTAACCATACGTGGCTGGTTAGCCTGTAACCATACGTGGCTGGTTAGTCCTGTAACCATACGTGGCTGGTTAGTCCTGTAACCATACGTGGCTGGTTAGCCCTGTAACCATACGTGGCTGGTTAGCCCTGTAACCATACGTGGCTGGTTAGTCCTGTAACCATACGTGGCTGGTTAGCCCTGTAACCATACGTGGCTGGTTAGCCCTGTAACCATACGTGGCTGGTTAGTCCTGTAACCATACGTGGCTGGTTAGCCCTGTAACCATACGTGGCTGGTTAGCCCTGTAACCATACGTGGCTGGTTAGCCCTGTAACCATACGTGTGTGTGTGTGTGTACACATACACGTATTTAGAGATGGATCATTATCTACATTTCTTTATATGTCCTCTCCTCCCTTCATATCCTGGCTTCGTACCTCCTCTCGTGCCTCACCTGGCTGGAGGCAGCCTCACCTGGCTGCAGGCAGCCTCACCTGGCTGGAGGCAGCCTCACCTGGCTGGAGGCAGCCTCACCTGGCTGGAGGCAGCCTCATCTGGCTGGAGGCAGCCTCACCTGGCTGGAGGCAGCCTCACCTGGCTGGAGGCAGCCTCACCTGGCGTGCATTATTCACCAGTGAGGGAGTGGGGTAGTATTTACCGGAGCCGGTAATCCTCAGCGGCGCATGCGCACAACAGCTTGACTCTCTCTCTCTCTCTCTCTCTCTCTCTCTCTCTCTCTCTCTCTCTCTCTCTCTCTCTCTCTCTCTCTCTCTCTCCCTCGCTCTCTAATTATTCTCCCTGCTCACTTGAGTTCCTCATCTCCAGCCTCACCTCTCCACCCGCTTCTATCCTGCTTTCATTCCTGGCTTCCAGGTCATTATTCTAGGTTCCGGGCCACCCCCCCTCCCCCAGGCTCCAGGCCATCCAAAGGTTCCAGACCATCACTGGATTCCAGGTCATCATTAGGTTCCAGGTTACCACTGTGTTCCAGGCGAGCCCTCAGTTCAAGACATCTTCCAGAGTGACTTTTATGTCTTGCCCTATATGGGGGGGGGGGAGGGGGGTCTTCCACTTCCAGGAAAACCCTTCCCATTTTCCAGACGATTTTTGTTTTCCAGTAACTTCCGTTTTCCTCCAGACACTCTTCTCCTCTGGTCTTGATGGCTCTTTTCTCAGTTATTATTTGTCTTCTCTACTTCCCCTTTTGTTTCCAGGCTTGTGTAGCTTTCCTGTATGTCTTTGTTTTGAGGTCCACTGCTGGCCCTAGAGGCAGGTGTGTGTGTGTGTGTGTGTGTGTGTGTGTGTGTGTGTGTGTGTGTGTGTGTGTGTGTACTCACCTAGTTGTGCTGCGGGGGTTGAGCTCTGACTCTTTGGTCCCGCTCTGTGTGTGTGTGTGTGTGTGTGTGTGTGTGTGTGTGTGTGTGTGTGTGTGTGTGTGTGTGTGTGTGTGTGTACTCACCTAGTTGTGCTTGCGGGGGTTGAGCTCTGGCTCTTTGGTCCCGCCTCTGTGTGTGTGTGTGTGTGTGTGTGTGTGTGTGTGTGTGTGCTGGGGGGGGAGGAGTGGCTCGCTCTGTAACGTCTTGATCTTTCCACTTGAAGTCCGGCGGGCTTACCATCTATCTCCTTCATCATAGTGTTTTATTTCCACCTTCTCTGTTCCACCCTGCCTCCACTACCCCACATTCCTCTACCCTCCCTCCCTCTCTCTCCCTCTCTCTCTTCCCCCTTTTCCTTTGCTAGGCGCTCGCATTTGGCTACATAATGCCCCTGGTAACCGGCCATCTCTTCCGGATTGCATCCTGGGGATAGTTAATGGCCTCGGGGGATTCTTACACCTTATGCCTCTGTTCACCTGTTGGTTCCGGAGAATAATGGTGTCTGGCCCGGTCCCTGACCAGGCCTGCTGGTTGGTGGTGTGGTCAGCCAGGCTGTTAGATGATGCGGTTGCTCGCAGTCTGGCGTTTGAATCGCTGCCTGGTTGATCAGGCCTTCTTTGGAGGTGTTTATCTAAGATAATTTCACCTAATATGACAATAGAGCCACACCCTTCACCTACAGAGCCACACCCTTCACCTACAGAGCCACACTCTTCACCTACAGAGCTACACCCTTCACCTACAGAGCCACACCCTTCACCTACAGAGCCACACCCTTCACCTACAGAGCCACACCCTTCACCTACAGAGCCACACCCTTCACCTACAGAGCCACACCCACTTGCCAACAGAGCTACACACCTCCCTCACAGAGCCAGACTCATCACCTAGATTCCCCAGCCGGCCCCAGCTAAGCCTCTGAATATTACATCTG